ATTCTGACCAAAGGGGTCATTTCCCTGCCTGGCAATGGAAGAAGCATTCCACTGCACCTGAAAGACCTGTATGTGTTCAGGCAGGAAGACCTGTTTGACTACTTGAATTTAAGGACCTGGTCACACCAAGTCAGAGGAGAGCATAACCTCACGGCCTGGCACAATGACCACTCGTAAGCAAATGGCTCTAGGTAAACCCTCCTCAGCACAACATGCATCTAAGTAACACTGATAGTGTCTACAAAAAAAAGTGAAGAGGACTTGGCTATTTCCTATAGGAAGTGTGTTTGTAGGAGAATTATTCCATTTGCTATTTGACATCCACCAGGATGTGTGTGAAGAGGGGGTGGTTACCTGAATGTCTTCTTGCTGGCTCCAATCACTGGTCCACAGAGAATGTAATCAAGGTAGAACATAGAAAGGGCCCATAAAAAGGTTTCACCACTAGGTATCCTAAGTGGAAATCATTCATATGCACCTGAAGAGAAATACAGTGGACCCTCGCCTAACGATATTAATCCGTTCATGAGAGCTCAGTGTTAGGCGAAATTATCGTTAGGTGAATTAATTTTTCCCATAATAAATAGTGGAAATCAAATTAATCCGTTCCTGACACCCCAAAGTATGAAAAAAAAATTTTACCACATGAAATATACATTTTCCTACACAAACAGAAGAAGACATGCACAGTTACCACTATACTAAATAAAGAATACATGACACTTGCCTCTATTGAAGATCTGGTGATGATTGTTGGGATGGGAGGAGGGGAGATGGTGGAAGTTGTCATTGTTTGGAAGGGGAGTCCCCTTCCATGAGGACTTGAGGTAGCAAGTCCTTTTCCAGGGTTACTTCCCTTCTTTTAATGTCACTAGGACCAGCTTGAGAGTCACTGGACCTCTGTCGCACAACAAATCTGTCCATAGAGCTCTGTACCTCGCGTTCCTTTAAGATTTTCCTAAAATGGGCCACAGCATTATCATCGTAATAGTCACCAGCGCGGCTTGCAATAGATGTATTAGGATGATTTTCATCCATAAAGGTTTGCACTTCAAGCCACTTTTCACACATTTCCTTAATCTTTGAAGAAAGCATCATCTTCAATTTCTCTCTCCCCTCCTCTAAAGCAGTCTCCTCAGGTCTGGCCTCCTGCTGTTGCAGATGCTCTTGCAGCTCATCAGTGGTTAGTTCTTCATCGTCCTCCTCCACCAACTCTTCCACATCTTCCCCACTAACCTCCAATCCCAAGGACTTCCCCAATGCCACAATAAATTCCACAAATGGCATAGGCTCCTGAGGGTTAGCCCCAAACTCTTCAAAATCCCTCTCTTCTACACATTCTGGCCACAATTTCCTCCAAGCAGAGTTCAAGGTCCTCTTAGTCACTCCCTTCCAAGCCTTACCTATAAGGTTTACACAACTGAGGGTATTAAAGTGATCTTTCCAAAACACTCTTAGGGTCAATCGAGTGTCTGAGGTCACTTCAAAGCACTTTTGAAACATAGCTTTTGTGTAGAGTTTTTTGAAGTTGGAAATGACCTGCTGGTCTATGGGCTAGAGGAGAGGAGTGGTATTAGGAGGCAAAAATTTGACCTTGATGAAGCTCATGTCCCCAGAAATTCGCTCTGCCAAGTCTGAAGGATGGGCAGGAGCATTGTCTAATACCAGGAGGCACTTAAGTTCCAATTTCTTTACCAGGAGTAATTTTTCACATTGGGGGGCAAACACATGGTGAAACCAGTCATAGAAAAAGTCCCTAGTGACCCATGCCTTACTGTTTGCCCTCCACATCACACACAAATTAGCCTTGAGGACATTGTTTTTCCTGAACACACTGGGAGTTTCAGAGTGATACACCAATAAAGGCTTCACTTTGCAATCACCACTAGCATTACCACACAACAAAACAGTAAGCCTTTCATAGGCTTATGTCCTGGGAGTGCCTTTCCCTCCTGAGTAATGTAGGTCCTGTTTGGCATTTTCTTCCAAAATTGGCCTGTTTTGTCATAAGTAAGCACTTGTTCAGGTTTCAATCCTTCGGCCTCTGAATTCCTGCACATATTTTTCAGCCGCTTTTTGGTCCAAACTGGCAGCCTCACCATGCCTTATCACACTATGTATGCCACTACAATTCTTAAATCTCTCAAACCAACCTTTGCTGGCCTTAAATTCACTCACATCACCAATAGTTGCAGGCATTTTTTTAATTAAATCGTCATGCAACTTCCTAGCCTTTTCACATATGATCGCTTGAGAGATGCTATCTCCTGCTATCTGTTTTTCGTTTATCCACACCAATAACAGTCTATCAACATCTTCGAGTACTCGCAATCTCTGTTTTGAAAACAAACTTGCCCTTTTGCAAGACCAGTTTCCTTGATTGTCGTTTTGTTGGCCAAGATAGTAGCGATGGCTGATTGGGGTTTGGTATACAACCTGACCAGCTCCAAGACACGCACTTCACTTTCGTACTTTGCAATTATCTCTCTCTTAATTTCCATACTAATTCTCACCCTTTTTACCACAGGGTTGGCACTAGAAACTTTCTTGGGGCCCATGGTGACTTATTTTGCAGTTACAAGCACTAAAAACACTGGGATAATGCAAAATGTGCCGAATGTATACGTAGATGCGACTGCACTGGCTGACTTGTAAACACTGGCACCCATGGGGCAACTGAGGCGCGCTCAGGCCACACATGGGACGCGTCCCGGACGAATCACGTTAGGCGAGTTTTTTATCGTTGCGCGGGCCAAAATTTTTGTGCTCAAACACTTCGTTAGGTGGATTTAACGTTATGCGATGTGTTCATTAGGCGAGGGTCCACTGTATATAGTCAAAGGGCTAGATTCAGGTGTAGAGTATTCATATGGTATGCATTATGCTGATGCACAGAGCTTGTACCATTTACCATTTATGTTAGGTTTGAGTTCCTCCTCAAAGCAACAGTCACAGTACCCATTATGTGGAGGAGTAACGATTTGATTTTAACGAACTGCTCCACCCTGCTTTGTTATGGCTCCCAAAGCAGATTTATCCTTGTACAGACAGTGGCCAAACTGGTCAGATGGCCCTCAGTATGCCTCAGGCATTTAAGTAGGCTCAATGCATATATTACAAGGATCTCCAGGGCAAGTGAAACTTCACATAAGTATGCTTCAAGTTATACTCACTTATCAGTTAGGTTTCCCTCTTCTCATACTCTGGAATCACTGTATGCAGTGAATCAGTGGTTCAGTATTATTAGGAGACTACATAATCTATCCTTCTTTAGCTTTTCAGGTAAATTTATCATTATACACAGTTGGGAACCTGGTCATCTGGAATTCATCCTCCTCACCTCGGTTCATTCAGAAAACTATAAGAATTTTGACCCCTTATATGCAACACTGCCTGGTAATTGTATGAAGGATGATCCAGCTTGTCCAGATTGTGACTAATACAAAAAATGCTGCATAGATGGCAGCTTTCATTTTTGGCTGTGACCTCAATTCATACACACGGTTAATTTCTTTGGATGCAAGAAATTTAGTTGGGATTTATTAGACATGCTTTAGGCCACCCAAAGTTTGATCTTAAAACCCTAGAAGGGTGTTCAGTATTGGGAACTTTGGTAAAAAGAATGTCTGCAGGTAATCACTAGTTTTAGCTGAAAACATACAAAATGTTGGCTTTCTTATACACAATACTGTGATTAACCCTTTGAGGGTTTTCGTCGTACTAGTACGTCTTAACGCGTAGGGGTTTTTGACGTACTAGTACTCATAAATTCTAGCGACCTCAAATCTAGTGGGAGAAAGCTGGTAGGCCTTCATATGAAAGAATGGGTCTATGTGGTCAGTGTGCACAGTCTAAAAAAAATCCTGCAGCACACAGTGCATAATGAGAAAAAAAAACTTTTTCCATTTTTTTTTAATAAATCAGCGACTTTGCAGTGTATTTTCGTATGGTATTTATTGTTGTATTCTAGTTTTCTTGGTCTCATTTTATAGAATGGAAGACATATTACTGAAATTGAGATGATTTGACTGGTTTTACAATGAAAGGTGCCTTGAAATTGAGCTCAAAGTAGCAGAAATGTTCGATTTTTACCAAACTTCAAAAGTAAACAAATCGTGCCAAGCGTGCAATACACGTCAACTGGTGAGTCTAATATTCTTTCACAAGTGCACCAATAATATTTATATCATTTTTTACACTAATGCAGTAGTCTGCATAACAGTAAATCTTATATTTTTTGTGAGAATAAAAATTCAAAGTGGAAAGCAAAAGAATATAAGAGGGGCCTTGAGACGTGACTAATGACTAGAGGAAATGTCATTTTAGTGCCAGGAATGTCTTTCTTGTTTATTCTGGACCCTATTCCGAAATTGGCATCTTTTGAAATTTGTGTGAAATTGGCAAAATTGCTAAATTCTGACCACTGTACTGGATAGTTGAATTTATAAATGGGTGGTTTCTTGCACCCATTCGATAGAAAAAATGGAGTTCTAGCGAAATATTCATGTTTTTTGTCGACTAGTACAGTGAAATTGGCCGAAAATGGGGCTCAAAGTGGGCAAAATCGCCGATCCGTAAACATCGCCGAGACCGCTAACTTTGCGAGAGCATAATTCCGTAAGTTTTCTATCAAATTTCAAACTTTTGGTGTCGTTATGATCGGGAAAAGATTCTCTATCTTTTCATAAGAGAAAATAATTTTTTTTTTTTTTAAATTTGGCCGACCCTGAGAACGAGTTTCGGAGAGGGCCTGTCGACCCTCAAAGGGTTAAGGATCCCAAGAAATGGTGCTAGGCAATTCCTTGAGGAACACTTCAAACTTTGAGGCATGGTGCACTAAGTACATAGGGCCTACCATATATAAGGCACTAAGTGCCTAGGGCCTTCAGCAGTATTAATCTGGCCTTGGGTGAGATATAACATGTATCTAGAGTGTTATTTCACTACTATCTCCATTAAGTGGTCAGTTAAAAAGTTAAACTAATTCTCATTTCTTTCAGGACTGGTAAGTTCCGTGCACCCACCAGACCAACTCCTAGATGAAGCTATCAGACTTGGAGAAAAGATTTCTCAACACTCTAAAGTGATTGTAGCCATGTGCAAGGAATCAGTAAACAATTGTGAGTGGAAATAATGAAACAATTTTGTGAATTGCCATGTACAGTATATATACATGTCCATATATTAATTATTTTTTAACACACTTACCATCTTCCACTGAGGCAGGGTATCCTGAAAAAGAAACACTTTCACCATCATTCACTCTATCATTGTCTTGCCAGAGCCATGCTGACACTACAGTTCAGATGCCCCTCCAAACTGCAAATATCCCCACCCTTCCTTCAGTAGAGTGCAGGCACTGTACTGCCCACCTCCAGGACTATCCAGTTTTTCCAAATCCCTTCACAAAACGTTGCCTTGCTCACATTCCAACATCTCAAGTTGCAAAAACCATTTGCCTGCACTCCTCTGACATACTCATGAATGCCTGATGGATGTCCAGGCCTTATCTGTCTACACAAATACACATATTGTTGAGTAACCTCATGTTCAGTGGTCAAATTCACATTTACTCTAAACCCAAGTTTGTTTTCTTAGATGTCAAAGTGCAGTACACAACCTTAGGAAATTTATACTGCACACTCACCTTTAATCTTTGAACTAAGAATCAATATTAGCATGCATACATGATAAACTAAATCTACTAAGAGGAAAAGGAAAGGGCAGGGATTCCATCATGGTAAATTTGGCTGATAACAAACTATGTAGTAGACTGTTGGAATAGTGTACAAGAAAAAGTACTAAAGGGTAAAAACTACTGGAGCTTTAAAAAACTTACAATAGACTAAATGCTCTGCTCCTGTAGCTAAAGCAAGTACTGTAATTAGAGTCAACTGTCTTGCTAGGTTTAGTAACCAATAGTATACAGGAGACAGTTCCTTCATAAGAGTTCACTAATGCATTAGCACTTTTAATTTGTTATACATGTATGAATTTCATATGATTGTGTGTGCACTTGGACTTGTGCCATAGGTCAAGGGAAATTTTTGTGCAGGTTCTGTAAAGAAAAAGGTTTGACATCTGGAGAATAATAGTTTCAATCATAATCATGTTTTCATATTTTTTGTCATTTTATTTTTTAGTAGATTTTGTATAGGTATGTGTATTAATGAGATAGGTTTGAGATTCTGGGTCTAGGGAAGGAAGACTATAAGCATTGGAAATCTTGTCTCCTTTTTACAACTAAGTTCCGATAGCACACACCTATCTCAGAATGCATCACAGACTAAGCAAGGGACAATTATATTGTTTAATGCAGCGTGTCTGCAACATTTTGTGCGAGTCTTTGAACACTGAAATGGTCTAAAATTTTACAGGATCACCGTCATTTAAAGATGTAGAGAATGATAGAACATTTTTAATCTAATGCAAATAGTAGTGTGCTAATTTAATTTTGGATTTACAGCTTTTGAGCTACCCCTTAGTGAAGGACTCCACTTTGAGAAGAGATTATTCCATTGTACCTTTGCCACTGTGAGTATACTTACTATCCTGTGTGATTAATTAATTTTTTTTTTTTTTTCCAACAAGTCAGCCGTCTCCCACCGAGGCAGGGTGACCCAAAAAAGAAAGAAAATCCCCAAAAAGAAAATGCTTTAATCATCATTCAACACTTTCACCACACTCACACATAATCACTGTTTTTGCAGAGGTGCTCAGAATACAACAGTTTAGAAGCATATACATATAAAGATACACAACATATCCCTCCAAACTGCCAATATCCCAAACCCCTCCTTTAAAGTGCAGGCATTGTACTTCCCATTTCCAGGACTCAAGTCCGACTATATGAAAATAACCGGTTTCCCTGAATCCCTTCACTAAATATTACCCTGTGTGATTATATGATCATTTAATTCTTAGTTATTTAGAAGAGCTATGTTTATGACATTATTTTTCAATAACTGGTTTGTTATAATGATATGTTTAGTTTACAGTAGTTGTAGAACCGCCTTTTTTTTTTTTTTAAACTCGTTGATAATCTCCCATCAAGGTGGGTGACTCCAAAAAATTAAACATTCTTCATTGATCCATTATTCATTCAAATAGCTGTCTTGCCAGAAGTGTGCAGACATCACATTTCAGGTGACCCTCTTGAACTGGAACATCCCTACTCCAGAGTGCAGGGACTATACTCTCGACCATCTCATTATAATTATTGCCACTGTCTGTAAAATTATTTTTCTAGTCTTTTTTTTTTTTTTTTTTTCTACTGATTATTGTAGTTAATACTGGTGCCCTCCTTTCCCTCATAGTGTTAAATTTCTTTATGTATTATATTTTCTATGTTTTACCTGTTTCCCAACAAAGCAGGGTGAAACTGTAACATCCCCACCCAACTCTGAAAGTGTAGGCACAGATATCTCCCACTTTTAGAACTCAAGTCTGGCTAACTAGTTTCCCTAAATCCCATAATAGATATTACCCTGTTAACACTCCAATAGCATGTCAAATCCAGTCAAATCCAAAATAACACCTCGTCTCCACTCGTTCAGTCTAACACACTGGACTGTTTGATGATCTTGCCCTTACCTTTCAAAATTTTGACACCCTCTTTTGAACGCTTCCTGGGGGATCCATCACACCTTCTATTAATCACAGATTTATACACCTTTTTGGTCAACCTATCTTGCTTCATCTTTTTTAAATGTCCAAACTGTCTCAACATTTCTTCTTTCATTACTTGAATTATTGCTTTCATTACATCACACCATCCATTAATTTTTTACACTCCTTATTCTCTGCATAATATTCAAACCTGCACATTGACTCAAGCATACGATCTCTTTCCGTCTGCCCTCCTACTGTCTATTTTCTACAACATTCAAAGACTATACATCTTACCCATTTAAAAATGTTTTACCATTGTACTTGGATACATTTTCCTGTTCATGCTCTATTACCCTGGTGAGCCCACCTGGATCCATACAAGGTATGCATGGACCTCCTTCAACTCCTACCACCAGGTGTTGTTCACTTGTTATAATTGGCATCACCTGAGACTCCCAGAATATTTTGGAATAGAGCTGCAATCCTTTCTCTGCCATGTCACCACCACATTCTCCTCTATACAGATACTTTATTTCTTGGGACCCTCCAAATACCTTAAAGCTTTTTGGGACTCCTACTGCTCATAATATTCCTGGAGGATGGACATTCACTTGGCCTGGCACACAGGACATGTGATAATCATTCTGACAGCCTATCATGTCTACCCTTGGATTGAGCTGTTTCACTCCCTTGTGAGGATTAGTGTGTGTTCATTTAAGGGCCTCTTTCTGTAGGGCCATGCTTCTTTAGTGCTACAAACTGCTAGTAGATATAGGGTCACCACATATAAGTGAATTCGCAGAGTGAATCCGCATAAACCAAAGGAAACCCGTATTTGATTTGACTTTGATATTAAAAATATGATTTTAATGCAAAAACAAGAAAATTAATGATAGAGTGTATTAGCTAAGAACTAAAAAAGCGACACTATTGATAAGAGTAAATCATTGACATTTTTCATAATGTTTTTTATGTTCAGGTAAGTACAGTACTACTAATATAAGTTTTATAAATTACAGTTAGCCAAACACGAGTTCTGAAATTGGGGAAGTACAGTGCCTGCGTTCTGAAGAATGGTTTCAGATGTTACATTCTGATGGGTTATTTGAAATGTGATGTCCATGAATTTCTGGTAAGAAAGCTGTTTAAAGAATGACAGAAAAATGATAGGATGGATAATGAGAACCTTCAAAACTAGGGACACCAAACCCATGATGATTCATGGGCTGTACATTAACTGCCCCCTTCAAGGCAGGCAAAATTGCTGACCCAGAGAATGTACCAAGATCTTTCACGGCACACGTAAGTATGATAAAACACATAAATTATTGGGATTGGTTGAAGTCCCTTGATTTGTATTCCCTGGAACACGGGTGAGAGATATACATGATGATACACTGGAACCCCGGTTTTCGTCCAGTACAGTTATCGTACAATTCAGTTTTCGACCACTTTTCGGCAAAATTTTCCGTTTTCGTATATCTGCTCAGAAATCGTCCGTACCAGACACATCCGCCTGCCCGCGGGACACGGCCACTCATATGTTCATGACTTAGTCTGCCTTTGTTACTCGTAGAGGGTGGTAGTGATGGTGGTAGAGGGTGGTAGTGATGGTGGTAGAGGGTGGTAGTGATGGTGGTAGAGGGTGGTAGTGATGGTGGTAGTGATGGTGGTAGAGGGTGGTAGTGATGGTGGTAGAGGGTGGTAGTGGTGGTAGAGGGTGGTAGTGATGGTGGTAGAGGTGGTAGTGATGGTGGTAAGGGGGGTAAGAGGTGTAGTGATGGGGGGGTAGAGGGTGGTAGTGATGGTGGTAGAGGGTGGTAGTGATAGTGGTAGAGATAACCTTTCCTCCCTCTTCCCTCCTCGCTGTTTTCCATATGCCAACAAGTGTCTTCAGTATAGGTAAAAGTGACTTAAATGTTCATTTATCCATTTCGTTAGTGCTTTATATTTATTTCTCATTGTTTTCTGTATGTAATACTATAGTTATTCTCTATAAAATGTATTTTTTGTTAATATTTTTGGGCGTCTGGAACAGATTAATTGGATTTTCTTTATTTCTTATGGGAAATATTACTTCAGTTTTCGTACATATCAGTTTTCGGTCGACCTTCTGGAATGGATTCAAGACAAAAACCAGGGTTCCACTGTATACACTTGGAAAATCCTAGAGGGATTAGGGCCAAACTTGCACACGAAAATCACTCCATATGAAAGCAAAAGACTCTGCAGGACATGCAACATTCCCCCAATCAAAAGCAGGGGCACCACGAGTACACTGAGAGACAATACAATAAATGTCAGGTGCCCAAGACTGTTCAACTGCCTCCCAGCATACATAAGGGGGGGTTACCAATAGACCCCTGACTATCTTCAAGAAGGCACTGGACAGGCACCTAAAGTCAGTACCTGACCAGACGGGCTATGGTTTGTGCGTCAGTTTGCATGTAGCCATCTCTAACAGCTTAGTTGATCAGACCCTGATCCACCACGAGGCCTGGTCTCAGACTGGGCTGCGGGGGAGTTGACCTCCGAAACCCTGTCCAGGTATACTCCAGGAATGCATTTTCTTTGGGTCATCCTACCTTGGGAGAGAGCAGCTGATATGTAAATACTATAATGAGTAATTAAACTTAACATTTACATTAACACTGTTATTGTTAGTTATAATTGAACTTAGCATTTACTTTAACACTGTTATTGTTATAGTTATAATTGATTTTATAAAATTATAATTTCCTAAAAAAAAAAAAATTTTTTTTTTTAGAAGGACCGCAGGGAAGGCATGACAGCATTTGTTGAGAAAAGGAAACCCAATTTCACCGACAGCTAAGATTCATGATTACAAGTGAACCATTCTAACTTTTCACTATTTAAAGAGGTTTGTAGAAGGCTTTTACTGTCTGTTATGGTCATAGTTTTTTTTTTTTTTTCTTCAAAGATTAGGCCCAAAGATCCTGCAGAAAGCTAACATATACCATGTTAGCTTTCTTCTAACTGTGCTAAAGCATTTGGTCAGTGGGTGGCTGAGCAGATTAGTAATCAAGTAGTAGCAAATTTGTTAAATGCTCCTTTTCCTCATTTACAAAATATTCCTTAAATCATTCATGTGCATTATTACTACTTTCTGCTAGATAAATATCATGTTCTTCATCCTCTTCAGTGAATCATATCTTTTCCAATACTTTTACAACTATATTTTCTTTATCATGGTTGTCAACATGGATAAGAGGTTTTTAATTTTAATTACATATTGCTGAACCACCCAGGGAGGTACTACCATCCTGCCAAGTGAGTGTAAAACAAAAGCCTGTAATTGTTTTACATGATGGTAGGATTGCTGGTGTTTTTTTCTGTCTCACAACCATGCAAGATTTCAGGTACATCTTGTTGCTTCTACTTACACTTAGGTCACACTACACATACATGTACATGTTGATGTATACACACTTATCTGAGTTTTCTTTGATTTTATGTTAATACTTCTTGTTCTTATTGCTTTTCCTTTTATATCTATGGGGAATGGAATACGAATCTTTCCTCCGTAAGCCATGCGTGTTGTAAAAGTTTACTAAAATGCCGGAACAATGGGCTAGTAACCCCTTTTCCTGTATAGTCTACTAAAAAGAAAAAAGAAAACTATAAAAGTGGGATGTTTGAATGCACGTGGATGTTGTGCAAATGATAAGAAAGAGATGATTGTTGATGTTATGAATGAGAAGCAGCTGGATGTCCTGGCTTTAAGTGAAACAAAGCTGAAGGGGGTGGGAGAGTCAGTGGGGAGAAATAAATGGGATTAGGTCAGGGGTTTCAAATAGAGCTAAAGAAGGCATAGCAATAATATTGAAGGATAAGTTATGGCAGGGAAAGAGGGAATATAAAAGTATAAATTCAAAGATTATGTGGAGTAAAATAAGGGTTGGATGTGAAAAGTGGGTTATAGTAAGCATTTATGCACCTGGAGAAGAGAGGAGTGTAGAGGAGAGAGAGATTTGGGGAAATTTGGAGTGAGTGTGTGGGGAGTTTTGAACCAAGTGTAAGAGTACTTGTGGTTGGGGATTTCAATGCTAAAGTGGGTAAAAATGTGGAGGGAGTAGTAGGTAAATTTGGGGTGCCAGGGGTAAATGAAAATGGGGAGCCTTTAATTGAGTTATGTGTAGAAAAAGGTTTGGTAATAAGTAATACATATTTTATGAAAAAGAGGATAAATAAATATACACGGTATGATATAGCACATAATGAAAGTAGTAGTTTGTTAGATTATGTATTGGTGGATAAAAGGTTGATGGGTAGGCTTCAGGATGTATGTACATGTTTATAGAGGGGCAACTGATATATTGGATTGTTTAGTTGTAGCTACAGTTAGAGTAAGAGGTAGATAGGACAAAAGGAAAATGGCAACAAGTAAGAGAGGGGTGAAAGTGTATAAACTAAGGGAGGAGGAAGTTAGGGTGAGATATAAGCAACTATTGGCAGAAAAGTGGGCTAGTGCAAGTAGTAGTGGGGGGGGGTTGAAAAGAGTTCAAATAGTTTAAAAATGCAGTATTAGAATGTGGGACTGAAGTTTGTGGCTATAAGAGGGCGGGTGCAGGAAGAAAGAGGAGTGATTGGTGGAATGATGAAGTAAAGGGTGTGATAAGAGAAAAAGGTAACTTACGAGAGGTTTTTACAATGCAGAAGTGTTATAAGAAGAGCAGAGTATATGGAGAGTAAAAGAGTGGTGAGAGAGTGCAAAAGGAGAGCAGATGATAGAGGGAGAGGCACTGTCAAGAAATTGTGATGAAGATATGAAAAAATTTTGGAGTGAGATAAACAAGTAAAGAAAACCTAGGGAATGACTGGCTTTGTCAGTTAAAAACAGAGCAGGGGAGGTAGTAGATGGGGAGCTGGAGGTATTAGGTAGATGGCGGGAATATTTTTGAGGAACTTTTAAATGTCGATGAAGCAAGGGAAGAGGTAATTTCATGCACTGGTCAGGGAGGTATAACATCTTTTAGGAGTGAAGAAGAACAGGATTTGAGTGTGGGGGAGGTGCTGGAGGCATTACGTAGAATGAAAGGGGGTAAAGCAGCTGGAACTGATCGGATCATTACAGAAATGTTAAAAGCTAGGGGGGGATATAGTGTTGGAGTTGTTGGTATTTTTGTTTAATAAATGTATTAAAGAGGGATTGGCAGAGAGCCTGTATAGTTCCTTTATATAAAGGGAAGGGGGACAAGAGAGATTGTAGAAATTATAGGGGAATAAGTTTACCGAGTATACCAGGAAAAGTGTACGGTAGGGTTATTATTGAAAGAATTAGAGGCAAGACAGAGAGTAGTATTTCGGATGAGCAGGAGGCTTTAGAGTGGGTAGGGGATGTGTAGATCAAATGTTTACATTGAAGCATATATGTGAAAAGTATTTAGATAAAGGTAGGGAAGTTTTCATTGCCTTTATGGATTTAGAAAAGGCATATGATAGAGTGGATAGGGGAGCAATGTGGCAAATGTTGCAAGTATATGGAATAGGTAGTAAGTTACTAAATGCTGTAGAGTTTTTATGAGGATAGGCTCAGGTTAGGGTGTGTAGAAGAGAGGAAGATTACTTCCCAGTAAAAGTAGGTCTTAGACAGGGATGTGTAATGTCACCATGGTTGTTTAATATATTTATAGATGGGGTTGTAAAAGAAGTAAATGCTAGGGTGTTGGGGAGAGGGGTGGGATTAATTTATGGGGAATCAAATACAAAATGGGAGTTGACACACTTTTTGCTGATGATACCGTGCTTATGGGAGATTTTAAAGAAAAGTTGCAAAGGTTAGTGGACGAGTTTGGGAGGGTGTGTAAAGGTTGAAAGTGAACGTAGACAAGAATAAGGCGATGAGGGTATCAAATGATTTAGATAAAGATAAATTTGGATATCACATTGGAGAGAGGGAGTATGGAAGAAGTAAATGTTTTCTGATATTTGGGAGTTGACGTGTCAGCGGATGGGTTTATGAAGGATGAGGTTAACCATAGAATTGACGAAGGAAAAAAGGTAAGTGGTGCGTTGAGGTATATGTGGAGACAAAGAAGGGAATGTATGAAAGTATAGTAGTACCAGCACTGTTATATGGGTATGAATCTTGGGTTGTAAATACTGCAGCATTAAAGGTAACAAGATTATTTTTTTTTTTTAGCAAACTTTGCTCCCTGACTTATGGCTGAAAATGTATAAACTGCAGGTATTCATGTGGGTAGCTGTATAATCCTATGGGTTTAGCGCTTCCCCCTTGATTATAATAATAATAATTCATGTGGGTATATGATGAAAAAAAAAAATGCAAAGTATTTTTTGTTTGTAACAATGTAGGTATTAAAAAATACACGTTTGCTAATATGAATATTTATTTTCCAGAACAGGAAGGAGAAATGCATTCAACAACCCTAGAGTGGTGGTGTGTATTGCGCAGCAATATTGTATATATAGATTAGGTATCAAATTGGAGTATAATGAATAGTTAGAGGATTAATATTTGAATTTATTTCTTAATACTTTAATTCAAATTTTTATCAGGTATATAGTGATTTATATACATAATAAAATATTACTCATTGATGGAATGAGTTTATTTGCCATTTATACTGTATAATAAGATTTCTTGGTAAATCATCATATCTGAAGAACTTTCATTAGATTAAAAATTTGTTGTGCTAGGTGTATAAGATGTAATGCCACACAATTACTGATTTGGAGTTATTGGAGGAGATTATTATTAAATTTAAAATAAGTGCTAAACTTGTATGGGTCAAATGTAGCTCAACTGCTAGCACACTTGGCTCACACACTGAGGTTGGGGCAGGTGATCCCCGGTACGGTTTGAAACAATAGAACATCTGCTGTCCATGTTCACCTATCAGTAAAATAGGTACATACCTGGGTGTTAGTCAACTGGTGTGGGTTGTACCCTGGGGACAAAATTAACCTAATTTGCCTGATTTGCTCTGCATAACAAGGCTTTCTATATACAGTAAGGCCTCGCTTTATGGCGTTTCGCTTTACGGCATTTCGTTAATACGGACATTTCAAATTATGTGTATGACCAAAACTCGCTATACAGCTCCCCCCACTTGACTTTCTAATACAGTCACTGCACCTCCACCTGGCTTGTTTACATTCTCTGAGCTCTGTAAGCACCAATTTTCTCCATTATGTCTGGAAACTCCAAAATTTAAAGGTTTTAAAAATTATTTCATATTTATATATACTCTGATAATTATACTTTTGTATACCTGTATCTAAAACTAAATACTGTGCTGGTGTGCAGGTATACATTAAAATCACAGTGTCTTATGTCTGGAGACGCCATATTAGTAACAATAATAATAATCACCGAGTCTCATTAAATGTCATATTAGGTTAATATACACATTTTCATTAATCCATTATGATATTTTTTCAAAATTATATAATAAACATGATACATAACATATAAAGATGATAAATACACCCCACAGTAGAATAAACAAATATGAGATGTGGTAGCCAGATGACTTGTACGAGTGATGGCAAGAATAACGGTTTCTCTAGTCCAACAAGAGAAAATGTGTAACTATAGAAAATTATTCCTTTCATATGCCTTCACTCAGTCATTTCTTCTAAAAATGGTGTTACATGAGAATGGGAGTGTTCCTCTTTATTTATTCTACCGTATCAATGTAGAGACAACTTGGGCACAATGTAACTTGTACACAAACCAGGCATATTTGCCTGGTTTGTTTACAGCAAGGAGGTGCCAGTGTGTGTTGTAGTCAGAGCAGAGTAAGATAAACTCTGGTGTGGCAGGTTCATCATTTTTTCTACTTCTGGTCATTCATGTTATGCAAATGCATGCAGCAGCAAGAGCAGTCTTGGACGCATTCCTATCAGGACTGCAATCAATCAATGTAATGATTAAGCCTTCCCAACTTTCATTCGTCCTATCATGAAGAAAGTAAATAATTTGCACCAATATCATAAATGTAAAACATCTCAGCCCAGGACCTATTGTGATGTCATTTAGTACCACTGACCCATACTGGTTTAATGCTTAACTTGATGATTTTAAATTGTATTATTGAACTGTTATTTGTAAGAACATAATCAAGTAGAGGGTATATCTAGAAGTGTACATCTTCAAGATTAAAATAAATATTTGCATTTTGGAAACTAATACTATACAGTATTCAGAATCTCAAGTATTACAAGAAAAATCACCAGTAAAATATTACGTTATATAATTTTGTTTTGTACAAGAACCAATGCAGATATGATTTATAATTTTTTACATATAGGAGATAATTTAAGGGCCTCCATTTGGTGTAAAAGACTGGCAACTGTAAATCTAAGTTGATGAAATCTGGAGACCGGTACTTGAAAGGTGTGTGAAGAGCCATTACTCGTTTCCAACCTCAATGTCACCACTGGATCTAGCACACGTGACAGCCAGCTGTAAACAAAATAAAATTTTTAATATATATTTAAACATTTAAAATACTGTATTGTATGCATTACTTTAGATTTTCCCCACAAATTCCAACCATTTTGAAGTGCTTGGCTAACTTCTTATGTAGAGAGAGTACAAATACTGCACTGCATTTTCTCCATCTTTTCACTTTTTTTTTCCCATGTTTTTTTCCTGCTGTTGCTTTTTTTTACTCTTAATGTTCCTCATCATAAGCACATGCAAAAATTGCTTCATTAATGTAACAATCAATCCAGCATGTAAAATCAACAGACAAGTATTCATATTACTGCTCTAAAATGTGTAAAATTCAAAGCATTTTTCAAGAAAATCTCTACAGAATATACCTCTTCAAGGGGGGCTCCTTGGCGTGGTGAAGAGGCTCTTGGTCTGAGGAATTAGCCCTGTCGGTCTTCTTCCTCAGACCGAACCTAATTACCCCCCATTCTCCCCTCCCCTATCCCATCCTCCCCTTTTTCCATTCCTCCTCCTCCTCCTCACCCCTCCCTTTTGCCCTTCCTCTTTTTGGCCTTTGGGATTTCTCCCATAGGCGCGCTAGTTCCTAGGTAGGGGAAAGGACACCGGGGTCCATCCCATTCCGTTGAGGTTCTTGGCGGTGGCGTAGTTTGCCGTGGAATCTGGATTGCCTGGGATGTCCCGATCCCTCTCCGGTATCCCGGAGTAGCTTTGGGTGTCTTTCGGGCGAGGGTGTATCTCTGGAAGTTCACCTTTCGGATTCCGGGGGTGGTGGCCGAAGGAGGTATGCTTTGTGGCGGATATCCGGTCGCCCTCTCTTTTGTCCACTGAGGTAGCTCGGCAAAATGTGAGGTTGCTATCCCGATTGCTGGTTTACGGGCATGAAGGGTAGGGTATGGCACGGGTTCCATGCTGCATTTTGCGCTACTAGCGGTGGCTAGGTCCTCTTGGGCGAGGAGGGAGATTTCCGGCCTTTCATTCCCCCTGGGAACTATTCCTCCCCGCTCCCCCCTTTTATTCTTTTTTTTTTTTTATTTTCTTTTTCTTTCCTTTTTTTTTTCTTAAAAACAAAAAGCAAAGGAGTAACCTAACCATGGCAGCCCTAGTCCATGAACCCACTACCCCCGGGCCCCTTTCTTGATACCGCACCCCATTCTGACCCTGCCTTGTGTTTAGACCACTCTTCGGACACTCCTGATGCCCCTGAAACCTCTTGCTGGTGCTGTTTCCTCACCCGCTTCAGGTACCGGGGCTTCGACTGACTCCTTCGATTTGTCTGAACTCCGCTCTCCTTCGACTATGTTTCCCGGCTTCTCCCTCTACGGTATGGCAATTTCAAAATCGCCCGCCCATTTCACCCCGGACCAACTCCGGTCCTTACTCCTAAACGCCAACGTCAATCTCCTGATGATGCTCCTTCGTTACCTTCCCATTCTACTCGGAAAAGACCGACACGTCAAGCACTCCCTCCCACGCTCAGTTTGGGACCACACAATGGACTAAATTCTTTACTTTAAGACCGACTTCTTTTTCTGCCTACCTTTCTGACATAGTATTGGCAAAGCGCTCCTGCGTCATGTTGGTAGAGATATTTCATTTCATGCTCTAAAGAGCAGTATGCGCATCGTCACTGTCCAGAATGCTACCCAAGCTCATATTTTTCCTCTCCTTTCAAATATCGATACTACTCCTATCACTATTGAAAAACATCTTTCTCTCAATTCTTGTAGTGGTACTGTCATTCTGCCCCATACCATAGTCCAACAGAATTTCCAGTCATGTGGCAATGACTTTTTTTGAACAGCTGGAACTCCGGGATCTCCCAATCCTCAAAGTAGACACTTATGTCTTTCCTTGCCCGGGGGCGGAGACTTTAAACCCTTGCAATGTAGCTCGTTAATTTTTTGACAGCCGAGAACTCCCGTCCTCTGTAATGTCGCGGGACATAGGTTACAAGTTCGAAAGGTGATACCTACACCGCAACAATGTAGAAATTGCTGGCGTTTGGTCACCCAGTGAAATATTGCAGATCTATGGCCGAATGCCCAGTCTGTGGTGCCGACGACCATTCTAATACATCTTGCATCAACCTCCATCTTGCCTTAATTGTAATGAAGCTCACCCTTCGTACTCCCGCCGTTGCCAGGTCTACTAAATGAACGTGAAATCCGTTGCCTCAAAGAGGCAAAAAGGTCCTCCCTTATGCTATGGAAGTTACTCATCTCCGCCTCCAAGGGAGACTACCGCCGTGTTTCTTATTCTCGTGTTTCCAAACATCCCCCCACTTCTGGGGTCCCATCTTCTGCAGCCTCCTCTGTTGTTACCCCTCCCTTTGCCACTACGGCACCCTAACCCTTTTACTGCCCTTTGGGCTCTGACGTCCCGACTACAACTCAAGTCTGTTCTCACATCTTCGCGTTCTTCCCACAAGCCCCAGTATCGACAAGACCTCGTACGACACCTAATACCAATCGCCCCTCACTTCTCAGAAGTCCAAAAAATCCACATTGCTCAAATCTTCTTTGCCCCTTCCTTCCCTTCTTCCACCTCCACACTTTACCTTTTCCACTCTGTACCTAGTTCTTCCCCTCTCTCTGGCTCTATTACAAGTGTGGAGATTCACCCTCCTCCTCGTACTATGCCTTCCACCCCCCGTCCCCTCCCAAGTTTCTCCCTCTTCTGCCACCTCCCAGGTTTCTGTCTCTTCTGCCCCCCCCCCCCCACACCTCATCTCCAGTCCCTTACACTCTTCCCTCCCCCTCTTACTTTGGTACAGTCCATTACTGTCCCAACCCTTTACTCCCCTCCTCCTTCTATCTCCAATATGGTCTCTCATACATCTTTGAATTCAGAAAACACTTGAAGCCTTTTTCAGAATATATTGCAGAGACTAAACCTTCAATGGACACTGATTCACTTCCGGTTCCTTCTCTTCCCTCTCCTCCATCTTCCAACCCCATCTTCGCAACGTTTCCGTTCCTTGCGCTTAAAACGTCTTCCAATCCCACCACACGTTTGACTTTTCTAACCCCTCTAGTCCGTAGGTGCCTTTACCTACAGATTCCTGGTTTTTTTTTCCCATCGCCAATCATGGCCTATTTACAGTGGAATATCCGCGGCCTCAGGGTAATCAGGGTGAGCTTCAGATGTTGCTTTCCAGGTTTTCCCCTGTTGGTGCTTGCTTACAAAGAACCAAAATTACTCTCGGCTGTTTTTCCAACCTATCTCAGGCTATAATTTATTGTATTCTTCGGATCCTTTCTCAGAGGGGAAACCTTTAATGAAAGTGCCCTTCTTCTACGCAATGATATTCCGACTGTCAACTATTTGTCCATACCTCGCTGCATTACACTGCAGCCCTTTATCCACTTGAATAAGTGTTTTAACAATATGTTCTTTATATCTTCCTCCTTCTCGAGCATTTTCTACCCCAGACTTTGCCTTCTTGTTTCATCCTTACCACCACCACTTCTGTTACTTGGTGATTTTAATGCCCACCATTTCCTCTGGGGGGGGGGGGGGTCTTATTGTGACTCGCGTGGCATCCAGTTGGGGCTTTTCCTCGCCTCTCACCCCCTCCATGTTTTAAACATGGGTACTCCCACCCATTTTGATCCTCGTACTCATACTCTCTCTTGCATCGATCTATCAGTCTGCTCTTCCTCCACTGCACTAGACTTCCACCTGGTCTGTTTTACCAAACTTACATGACAGCGATCTTTTTTCCGATCATTCTTACTTCCCTTCCTATTCACCACCTTTCCGAGCCCTCGCTGGAAATTTTGATGGGGCAAATTGGGATCTTTTACTCACACCTTACTGCTTTTAGTGAGGTTCCTTCTTTATCCTCCATTATGAGCCCCCTACACATCTTCTCGACGTCAGTTTATTACCCCAGCTTCTCATTTTTATACCCCAAACCTCAGGCAGGCATTCTCAGAAAATGCGTGCCTTGGTGGTCTCCTGCTTTGCTCGTGCAGTACGTTTGAAAAAGTGCTGCATGGGGCAGGTACCGGTACAATAGAACCGCTGAGAGACTTTTTTGATTTTAAGCAGAAGCGTGCGATCGCTCGCCGTGTCATCCGTTTAAGCTAAACGCACTTGTTGGCAAGACTATGTTTCCACCTCACTCTGCTTCTTCTCTGAGTGCAGTCTGGAAAAAAGTGAGGAAATTTGAGTGGTAAATACTCTCCTGACCCGGCTCCTGTTCTACGGGTCGCTGGTGTTGATGTAGCAAACCCTCTCGACGTTGCCATTTTAACTTTGGCACACATCTGGTCCATATTTCCCAAGGGCCCCCATCTATGCCCCTTTTTTTCTTCCCCCAAGTCTGCCAGGAGTTAGTACCCTTGGGCTTTTATTCTCTCAGAGAAGAACAGTAAATGTGCCTTTTACACTTCAAGAACTGGAGGCAATGCTCTCAGCTTGCCGATCATCGCAGCTGGGCCTGACGACATTCAATTCGTAAAGTTACAACATTTACATCGGTCCGCCCTTGCAGTCCTCTACACCTCTTCAATCTTATTTGGCACAAGGAGTTCTTCCCCAGCTGTGGAAATCTGCCATTGTTCTCCCTTTCCGCAAAAACCCGGGGACTTCAGGACATGATCCTCCCACTATGCCCCATCGCTCTTACTAGTGCAGTTTGCAAAGTGATGGAAAAGTGTCGTAAATCGATGTTTAATGTGGTATTTAGAGACACACAACAGTCCCCCTCCGCTAGTCAATATGACTTTCGTAAGGGTCGTTCTACCATAGACCCTTACTACGCTTGGATACGTATGTTCGTAATGCCTTTGCGAATAATCACTCAGTTATTGCCATATTTTTTGACCTTGAAAAAGGCATATGACACAACTTGGAGGTATAATATTTTGGCCCAGGCCCATTCCTTAGGCCTCCGAGGCAATCTACCATCCTTCCTAAGAACTTTTTTAACTGACAGACATTTCCGTGTTCGAGTCGATAATGTTCTTTCCCCGGACTTCGTCCAAGCTGAAGATGTCCCT